TGATTTTGAATACTTTAAGCCAAATACTATCACTCTTTTTGTTCGATAGGCGCGAATTTTTGAACTTAAAATTATCGCTAAAGTTTTAGTTCCTCTGAAGGCACATCCGGCGATACTTACAATTCACCTCCGAAAATGTCTCGGCGTTACTGACTACAAAGTTTTAGTTCCTTCTGAGGCACATCCGGGCTTACGAGGTTAAATATACCACAAATTGTGGTCATCCTATCAGCTAAATGCCTAAAAAGGCATATTTCACTATAAATTAAACAAAAATATGTATATTTTTTCCAAAATAAGCGAAATAAATTAATATTAAAAAAAATATGTTGCGACGGGAACGTCTTGTGATTGGTGGCAACTCCGGTGATGTCACTTAAAAGTAAACAGCCATTTTTTTTACTGCAAATTGTACGAATTCTAACACCCGTATACACAAACGATGCTTGCATAAGTGAAGCAGCAAATCAAACGCTCAGCGTTGAATAGTGCTCTGTGATTGGTTCGTGTGTCACCCTGTGAGTCCACGCGCACTGTGAGACCTCATAGTAATGTTTGTGAATACGGGCGTAAGTTTTCTCAGTGATAATTACATCTGTGAGCTGAGAAATTTGTTTACTGGTGTGTGACGTCACACACACGAGTCAAAAACATCGTTTTTGGCGCGGTTTTGATAATTAAGCTTTTACATCGTTTTTACTATTAATACAGAAAATCTGCCAGAAATATTAATGGAGTGTACATAATAGAGTGTATCATAGAATCATTTAGAATGATTTTCAAAATTTGTCAAATAGCCTAATATTGTATTATTTGTTAGTAACACAAATATAAAAATATGGATTAATCTACAAATTAAATCAAATATTTTTATTGATGTAGGTATAAATAAAATAAATCAGATAATCAGTTGCTGTAGGTTTATTTTTAAATTTAAGTATAATCTGTGGCACAGGCCGCAGGGATGTGAAGATTTAAAAAAAACTGAGGCTGACATTTATTTTAGATTTTGCGCGCCAAATTTTATTTGTTGTAAAATTTAATAATAAAAAAATATTAGTTTCCCTATTGTACCTATATGGAAGTCGATGACGATGGCATCACATTCACGTTTATTTTATATGTGGAACATGATTGAGGCCGCTGGAGCCCAAGATCAGCGTGATCGCATGGCCACTGTTCGTGCAAATGCTCGCACGTACAATGATTTAAGAACTCTTCCGGAAGTCGAATTTAGAAATAGATATCGGCTTCCGAAGCAAGCCGTTAGATCACTTTGCCAAGAATTACATGAAATTGGGGAATTAAAATCAACTCAACGTGTAACCTTGGAAGATAAGGTAATTTATCAGATTTGTTTGACACACTCTTTCTTCTAAGTTCTAAGGTTATGGCCATAAGGCACACACGTTAAAATATCGGTATCGTTATACTCTCTCATCTGTGATTTTAATGTGCAAATTATGTATCCAGTGTTTTATTTATTAGAATAGATAGACCTACCGACTTTTAACAATACCATAACTTAGTTAAACTTTATTTTTAGGTATTAACTGCACTATTTTTTTATGCAACTGGATCCTACCAGAGGCCAGTGGGAGTTGCAAAAAATATATCGCAAAAAATGTGCAGTGTTTACATCGAAGAAGTTACCAAAGCTTTGACACATAAGGATATAATATCAAAATTATTAAATTTCCCAACACTCCATCTGCTAGACAAGCGATAAGTCAAAGGTACTGAAAAATCTAATGCTGCTTTTACACTATGCGGAAATTAGCCGAGTCAAGTCAAAAAAACAGAGGAGTGGGAATGAAAAAATGAATGAATTTCATCCCCACTCCTCTGTTTTTTTGACTTGACTTGGCTAATTTCCGCGCAGTGTAAACGCAGCATAAAACTTTTAAATAATAGTATGGTAAACTATGGTATACCCACAGATATGGATCTGTGGGTATACCAATGAGCTGTTGTCATAGTGACATTGAATGTCAATGTCACATAATCACAGAATCAAATCAAACGTGAGAGTTCCGTCTCGCGAGTGTCAGTGGCTACACGTGTGTCGGAAATTTTCGTTTATTTTGAAAATTTTAGTGTGGTTTTCTACAGTAATCTTATTCTAAGCTTATTTATTAATAAAACTAAGGTGGTGGTATATTAACTTTCGTGTATTTTTGGTAAGTAAAGTAAATCAGCATGGATGTCATACCTCCCGACCCGCCTGATCCCCCAGACCAGGCCGCCCCAATGGAATTATCCCAGCCATTATTTTCACAATCGGCTACCAAACGCCGTCTTGACACGACAGGCGATTCCGAGCCAGCTAAAAGAACCAACACGGATGGTTCCTTACCTCAAATCAACCAACAGGTGTACACTCACCCCTCCCTTGTCATTGCCCCCAAAACATATAGCGACCAAGACAAAGGCCCGTTCCTAGTCCACGTGTCTCATATGGAAACTGATCCCTCTTCCCCAGTATTCATCCAACCAATGAGATTTGGTAAGTTTCTGGTTACCAACAGAATCCAGGGTATAGTTTTGGACGGAGTTAAAAAAATCGGAAGAAACAGAATTTCAGTCGAATTTGTTTCACCCAGCGCAGCTAACAATTTCCTGAATAACGAAATTCTTCCGTTGTACAAATACGTTGCCTCGATACCGACTTATAACGTGACCCGCATGGGTCTCATCAGGAACATCCCCACTGACTGGACCATGGAGGAGCTCGCAGAAAATTTGACAACACCAGACGGTTGCGGCATTCTTTTGAAGGCCCGCCGCCTCAACCGGAAGCAGGTTAGAGACGGTCAGTCATCCTGGGTCCCCACACAAACCGTTGTGGTGACTTTCAAGGGTCAAGTTCTTCCTCAAAGAGTCTTCTGTTGCCACAATTCGATTCCAGTTGAGACGTACCAGCTTCCAACAATTCAATGCCTTAACTGTTGCCGATTTGGCCATGTGAAGGCACAATGTAGGTCGAAACCCAGATGCTATCGGTGCACTCAACCCCACCCAGCAGAAGAATGCGACGTCTCGGAAGGTAAAGCAACTTGTGTCAATTGCTTAGGCCCACATTTTGCGGTCAACAAGTCCTGTCCAGAGCATTCCCGCCAAAAGGCAATTAAAATAACTATGTCTCAGGACAATATTTCTTACTCTGAGGCCTCCTCCCAATTCCAACCAGTCCGCAAGTCCTACGCAGATGCCACTAAATCTCCGTCCTCACAAACCATTTTTTTTTTCTTTTTTTCTTTCGTTTCAAAGCACCCCCACCCCTCAACCCTTTCCCCAACCCCTGCTGTACAAAATTTTTGTGTGTTTCGTCTTTTTTGTGTTGTCTTGTCGTGATTGTGATTTGTGATGTCTTTTTTGTTTTAGGTCGATAAGTTCGCTTAGTCTTGTATAGTTAAATTATTTTATTTTATTTTATTTTATTTGTCTCTATCACTGTGTAAAAGCTGCGCACGTGACATTGGCGGAACAGTGGCGAAAAAGCACAAGTTCATCGCCATCAATAAAAGAAGAAGAAGAAGAAGAAATCAAACGTTGAAAAGTGTACGTATTTAAATATTTCAGGTTTTATGAGAAATATAGAATACCTGGAGTAATTGGCTGCATTGACTGTAGTCATTTTAGAATTTCTGGACCTCCTAAAAGTGAAGAACATCTTTATTACTGCCGCAAGCACTATCATTCGATTAATGTACAAATGGTAAAGAAATTTGAGCTATTTTTACTTTCTTAAAATGTAACACTTCAACCAATGACTTCAACTTGTAACTGATTATTTATTTCTTTGAAATTACAGATAATTATGTGATGACCAATATCGAATTATTAATGTAAATGCCAAATTTGGAGGTGCCAATCATGACTCTTTTATATGGGAGAATAGCAAAATCAATAATTATGTGCAATTGATGCATCGAAATCGGGAAATAGCGTGGCTTTTAGGTAAGTTCGCCATAATCTATACTTCTATATTAATATTATAAATGCGAAAGAAACTGTCTGTGTGTGTCTTGCTTTCACGCCTAAACCACTGAACCGATTTTTATGAAATTTGGCATAGAGATAGTTTGAATCCCGGGAAAGGACATAGGATAGTTTTTATCCCGGTTTTTGAAAGAGGGACGCAAGCGATAAGTTTTTCTGTAACAGACAAAATTCCAACCGGGCGAAGCCACGGGCTGAACGCTAGTAAAATATAATTTGAACACCATTGTATAATTACACTTTGGGCAATGATTTAACTAAAAGACGGTTATAATTTTAGGAGACTCTGGTTATCCCCAACGGCCGTGGTTGATGACCCCGATTTTAGGTGCTGCTCCAAACACACCAGAAGCTAATTACAATCAAAGGCATGTAGCAGCCAGAGTTGTCATAGAAAATACATTTGGGAGGCTAAAGAATCGATGGCGCTGTCTAAACAAAGATAGAGTGCTGCACTACAAGCCTCTTAAATGTGCCAGAATAATTCAAGCCTGCTGCGTTCTCCATAACATTGGTCTTGATTATAATGTTGTAGAAGAAGATGAGGACATCACTGGTATGGTAACAAATACCACAAATCTTTCAATAGCATAAGTGTGCATATATGTATTAAATAATTTATATTACACTACTTTCTAGGATTGGAACATAATGGAGAAGAGTACAACGGGCTCAATGAAGAAGGACCCACAGAGAGTCAAATAGGAGGTTCAACATCTGACTTAATCAGGGGAAGGGCTCTAAGGGAACAATTAGTTAGAAGACTTCAACACTTTTAATTTTATACGTATCCTATAGTTTTAATTTAGATTTTTTTTTTTAAATATTGGTCATTAAACTATTAAACTAATTTTGCCATTTCAATATGAGTTAAAAGCCATAAGTAAATTGTGTATAAAAATATATTATTTAACAAAACTTATCAACTATTTTCTCTAAAAGATTAAGAGCTCTGTGGCCTATAGCTTGCCACTCCATTTGAGTCTGCACCTCCATCTGCCTGATTCTATTTGCCTCTCTTCTCAATGCCATCATGTCTTCATGCTGTTGCCTTTTCAAACTCCTCCAATGTGCATCAACCTGAAGGAAGTGGTGAGCGGCTTGCTCTGCGCGTACTGACCGCGCTCGCCGTCTATGAGGTGACCCTCGAATTCTGCCTCTTACACCACGAGGAGGAGTTCGAACAGCTGAAGCTATGCGGGCTTGTGATGGTCTGGTTGGGGAGAACAAGTCCGTCTCTAGAAAGAAAAATAAAAGTTATTTTAGTTAAACCGTAATTATAATAAGTTAGATTTAGAATCAGTAATTAGAATAAGTTAGATTTAGAATAAGTCAGATTTAGATTAAGTAGGTAATTAGAATAAGTTACATTTAGATTAAGTAATTAGAAAAAGTTAGATTGTAATGTTTTAGGAAGCCATATACTTGTTATGTTTAGTTTTTTTTTAATTATAGTAAGTTAGATTTAGATTAAGTAATTAGAATAAGTTACATTTAGATTAAGTAATTAGAAAAAGTTAGATTGTAATGTTTTAGGAAGCCATATACTTGTTATGTTTAGTTTTTTTTAATTATAGTAAGTTAGATTTAGATTAAGTAATTAGAATAAGTTACATTTAGATTAAGTTATTAGAATAAGTTAGATTGTAATGTTTTAGGAACTTGTTATGTTTAGTTTTAAATCATGTAACTAATTACATATATTTTTAATATTATTATTACTTTCTAGGTTTATTTTTACTCCAAGTCCATAAATTCTTATTATTATTATTAATATCATTAGTTGACAATCTGAAGAGCCCTTTAAAGAGTTATTTCTTACCTTCTAATTGCTCCTCCGTAAAAGAAAGAGATGCAGTAGGAGGTGTCGACTGTGCTGGGGTAATAATTTGTGATGGCCCTGGCTCATTCCAATTAGGTTGGATGTCTAGAATAGAAAATACATACTTGCTGAGTACCTACACTTCAATTTAGGCGCGATTTTATTGATAATAATGTAATATTTCTAAATTAATTTGCTTATTTATCTAGAAAAAATACTTTATATCTTACTTTAAATATCTTCTTCAATAAATACAAGCGGTGGAGATGAAATTGCTCTCAGCAGTGATTCTGAAGTTGGCTCGTCGCTCAATTGCTGAGCTAAAGTAAAAAAATAAATAATATATCGTGACAACATAACAACTTAATCATAAATGTAATAGTATTCTGCTATGAGCAACTTACACTCCACAATTTGACGTGATGTTTGTGTGTCTTGCACAGAGTCATTGGTGGAATTGGGCTGATTAGGAATCTCCTGTAAGAAAATACAATTTATGAAACACTAGGAAATAAAGTTTTAAGTTATGTAAGTACTAGCAGTTAATGTTAGTGTATATTATAGTTTTTTTTAGTTTAGTTTTATAGTTTAGATGTTAGTTATTGTATAGTAATATGTAAAGAAGTATAAAACTGTGTCAACCCAGCTTCTTCTATTGCCAAGCCCGTAGCCACTTGAACACCGATGAGATTTAGAACTCTTAGTTCTAAATCTGTCAGTTTTGCAAATACTGCTGGCCCACCACCAGTCCCAGTAGCTGCTCTGTGCAGACGTGCAGCCTTCCGTTTGGTATTATTTTTAAGGTCGCACCAAACCTTAAATAATAAATATAAATGTTGGTATAATAATAAATAAAATAGTAAGATAATATAAGTGTAATAGGTAATAATATAATATTGTATTGAAGTGGATTGCTGAACCCAACCGGGTGTGCATAGTACTTATACATTAAGCAAGTTGTTACTAGTTTTAAGATTCTTAATGTAATAATAATAATATGTATTTAATTGCAATGTATGAATTAATAAATAAATAAATCATGCAAAGAAGCCAACATTTTATTAGAACCGCGTCCTTGTAATAGTTAAAACAGTTCAGCATTTTAACTAACCTTCTTCCACTTCTCAGTAGTTTTGCTATCCCCCACACCATCACTGTTTAGAAGCAATGTCAGGTCCTCCCAATGTTTGAGATTATTTAATCTACCTCTTGCGTTACTGGTAGGCTTGGTGAGGTCTCCATGCCTATAAAGACAAAACGAAGAAAGAAAGAAAAATATTTATTCGATGCAAGTTTTATTTCTGCGATGTTAAAAATCTAAGCTAGCTAAACACCAAATAAAATAAATTCCACTTACTGCTCCATAAATGTAACCATCATTACAAATTGCGACGAACTTGTCTTCATTTTTATTATTTGACAATATTCAATAATAGGTAACAAAAAATATGCAATGCGCGCCAAAAACTTCTGCAAACTCGCACAATAATTTTCAACATGGCGCGTTTGATAGATTATAACCAGCACAAAGTTGATAGACAGCCTCTTTCATTAAGAACACTGAATGTGAATGTCTTT